GGAGATAGGGAGGGAGGGGATTTGAACAGGAGGGTGAGGATTGTAGGGGGCTGGAGGAGGTGACGGAGATAGGGAGGGAGGGATTTGAACAGGCGGGTGAGGATTGTACGGGGCTGGAGGAGGTGACGGAGATAGGGAGGGAGGGGATTTGAACAGGAGGGTGAGGATTGTAGGGACTGGAGGAGGTGACGGAGATCGGGAGGGAGGGATTTGAACAGGAGAAAGAGGATTTGAGGAGTTCTGGAGGAGGTGAAGAGGTGATGATGAAGGGAGCGAGAGATGGAAGGGCCATCGAGATCGGCGGTCCTGTCGGTGGGCTCAGAGGGTTACACACCACCAAAGGTGACCCAGCATGCAGGCAGAGGGATCCCATACCTGTATCCTCTGGCATTGAGGCCTGGTCTGTGTTCCGCTCCTTCTTAAAGGTAATGTTTCCAAACTGTAGCACTGCTGAGACCAGGCGTAACATTGCTGCATGAATAACAGGCAGAGACAGAGACAGACAGAGATCAGCAACACTATCACAGGACAATGGCAGGGCTGAATGGCCTCCTGCTCCTGTGGGACAGGCTGGAGGAGGAGGGGGGTGAATGGCCTCCTGCTCCTGTGGGACAGGCTGGAGGAGGAGGGGGGGTGAATGGCCTCCAGCTCCTGTGGGACAGGCTGGAGGAGGAGGGGGGGTGAATGGCCTCCTTTTTCTGTTGTACTCACCGGTGATCTCGTCCTGGGAGAACCCCATGATGGTCATGGCCTCAAGAGTCTCGTGGAAGTTGTCTTTGTCCTGTTGTCCCGCTATGGGAATGTACCCGTTCGACAGGAACTTGTAATTCTGCAACGGCTCCAGCAGCAGGTCAGCTGTGTGGAAGTGGGGAAAACAGAGAGAGAGAGAGAGGGTGAGAAGGGAGGGGGAGAGAGAGAGAGACGGACGGAGACACAGAGAGACACACAAACGGACAGAGACAGACAGACAGAGAGACAGAGATAGGGAGACAGACAGAGGGAGCGTCAGAGACAGACGGACAGAAAGAGAGAGACAGAGAAGGCGGACAGAAAGAGAGAGTGAGAGACACAGACAGACAGATGGACAGAGACATAGAGAGAGACAGAGAGATAGGGAGACAGACAGAGAGAGTGAGAGAGAGACACAGATGGACAGAAAGAGAGTGAGAGAGAGAGAGAGACAGACGGATAGAAAGAGAGAGACAGACAGAGAAATGGATGGGGCACAGGGAGAGGAGAAGGTGACAGAGACGGGGGCGGGAGAGGGAGAGACAGACAGACAGGGACAGAGGAAATAAAGAAGAGAGATATATATAAACACATAAAAAAAGAAGGGCAAGGAAGGGAAGGAGAGGGAATCACTGAGGGGTCACCTGTCGTGGAATCACTGAGCAAAAGATGGCGATATTTCTCTTCTGCTCCCCATCAGGCCCCAGTGTAAGAAATGCCACATTTTACAGGGAGTGACTGTGTCATAAACAGACAGCTGGCACAAAGTAAGAAACCTGCCACCTCAGAAGCAGAGGGATCTGGGTGTCGCAGTGTTTGACGCAGTTAGTCTGGGCTCGCATCCGACAGAGTTTCCAGGAGTGAAACAGAAGCCATCCTGACGGGTGGATACAGAGAACACGTTCCCCCCAACTTGTGGGGCAGAAGCCAGGAAGGGGGATCGTGCTCTCGAGACCAGCTCCCCAGGGAGTGGGGGGTGGGGGGAGGAGAACATGCTGAGGAACACCATGTGGTGACTCAGTTCAGAAGAAACTCTGTTGCCCAAAGGTGGGCGAGGTTCAGGACGGGAGTGGGCTTAACGGGGTCGAATGGCCTGCACTTTTCTCAGTTGATCGAGAGCACTCTCTTCAGCACCCTCGAATCTTCCGACGGTCACCGGAGGAAATCCTCCTCATCCTGTTCCCTCCCCGGCACAAGATGGCGTTTGGAAGTGGGGGGCGGCGGCAGCGGACGAGGGGAGGGAAGGGCAGAGGTGGGCGCTGAAGGGCCCATTGTTACTTTGTCTGCTTCCAACCCTGTGCGGGTGAGCGACGTTTCCCAGGGTCCTGCATCCCACCTCCCCCGCCAGCCCCCGGTACTGATGGAGGGAGTAACCCATCGCGGGGGACAGCCCACGTACTCTTGACGTGTTCGCCAGCGCCCACCAGGAGCTGGTAGAAGATGTGGAAGGTGCGCTCATCCCTGGCTTGACGGATCGCCCGGGACTTCTCCAGCAGGTCTGTACCGGACCGTCAAGGAAGGTCAGGTCCCAGGTCAGGCCCGCCCTCATTCCCCTCCCTCCCTATCTCCCTCACCTCCTCCAGTCCCCTACAATTCTCACCCTCCTGTCCAAATTCCTCCCTCCCTCCCTATCTCTGTCATCTCCCTAAATTGTCCCCAGTCTCTTTTTTTAAGCCATGCCTTAAGGGTAGCACGGTGGCTCAGTGGTTAGCAATGCTGCCTCATGGCACCAGGAACCCAGGTTCAATTCCACCCTTGGGTGACTGTCTCTGTGGAGTTTGCATGTTCTCTCCCCCCGTGTTTGCATGGGTTTCCTCTGAGTGCTCCGGTTTCCTCCCACAGTCCAATGATGCGCAAGTTAGTGTGGATCGGCCGTGCTAAATTACCCATAGTGCCCAGGGATGTGCAGGTTAGGGTGGGTTGGCCGTGCTAAATTACCCATAGTGCCCCAGGGATGTGTGGGTTAGGGTGGATTGGCCGTGCCAAATTACCCAGAGTGCCCCAGGGATGTGCCGGTTAGGGTGGATTGGCTGTGCTAAATTACCCATAGTGCCCAGGGATGTGCGGGTTAGGGTGGGCTGGTTGGATCGCACGGTGGCACAGTGGTTAGCACTGCTGCCTCACAGTGCCAGGGACCCAGGTTCGATTCCACCCTCAGGTGTCTGTCTGTGTGGAGCTTGCACATTCTTGCCGTGTCTGCGTGGGTTTCCTCCGGGTGCTCTGGTTTCCTCCCACAGTCCAAAGCTGTGCGGGTTAGGGTGGATTGGCCGTGCTAAGTTACCTGTAGTGTTCAGGGATGTGTAGATTAGGTGGGTTATAGGGGGATGGGTCTGGGTGGGAAGGGTCTCGGTGTGGACTTGTTGGGCCGAAGGGCCTGTTTCCACAATGTAGGGATTCTTTGACTCTATTCTATGAAGGATCTGGGGGATCGTTCCTTCCGAGGGTAGCCTCGGGGTTTGCTGACTCCATTAACAGTGTGAGAGAGAGAAACACTGGGTACAGCCAAGGCTGGGGCAGGGTGGGGCGATGAGGGGCGAGGGGCAACCTCAAAAGGCTTGTACAGATTCGGCCCTCTTCTGCAGCGACACCTCAAACCTTCCTTGGGGACTTCTCCGGGGTCTGAGGACTGGTTCAGATCAGATTGTCCGCTGCCCGTGACAGGTTATAGACATTTCACAGCTCACACACAGAGACAGAGTGTGACGGGGGTGGGGGTGGGGGTGGGGGTGGTGCGCCTTCAAACATCCACCTGTTCTAACCCTGTTTCGCAGCACTTGGCCCACAGCATTTTCCTGCTGTGGTGTGTTAAGTTCTCATCTGTACAGTTCTTCCACATCACTACTGCTCCCGTCTCAGCCACCCTTTCAGGCACCGAGTTCCAGACCAGGCGACCTATTTCCTCAAATCCCCTCTCATCCTCCTCATCTGGCTGATGATCCCTAGGCTCAGGGCTAAGGTTCCCCCTCTCAGCCCTCTCTACATCCCACAGAACATTGAACTTCTCATTCAGAACCCTTCTGGGTCCTCTCCGTTCTAAAGGAAACAACACAAGCTCCATCTCTCAAATCACCAATAAGAGAGAGAGAGAGAGAGAGAGAGAGAGAGCGAGCACGAGGCACGGGCAGAGAGAGAGA